AAAAAAAAAAAAAAATTAAATTAAATGATGGAACTAAACAAAAAAGGGGATATAGATGAATGATCATTTTGTATCTCTGTATTCAAAATGGTTAGGATAGATATATAGCTACATTCTCTTAATTCAATGAATAGAGGGATTTGTTCTAATAGTGTTTGTAAATAGGATATCATGTCTGCATCTTGTACAACAAGTAACCACCAGGAAGACAATATGCAATGTGTTAATTATTGGAATTGTCCTACCAATTTGATTTGAAACTGTCTCATTGCTATTTATTTCTCAATAATATTAGGGAAAAAATAAATGAAATCTGTGACTATTTTTCTATTTCTTGGTAAAATGACTCAAAATAGAAAGCAAAATAACTCTTCAAAACATATAACCTGTTTTTCCTTCAATTCATATATTTTCACATAGAACTTGTCATTTCATTTTTGTTGTAATCTGCAACTTTTTAGATTTTTTCCTTCGGTTTGAAATACAAAATGATAGAACTTAGAGGAAACACAGGTACTAACTACCAAGTCCCAGTGTAGCTTATTTATGTTGACACTTCACATTCTGGAATACAGGAGATTCCATGTAACAGAACAAGATGAAACAGCACAATGGCAATAGACCCATGACACATAGTAGGTGAGTTGTATGGACTTGAAGTAGCAGGGCCCATGCACGGAGTGAGAGGGGAGAAAAGGGGTCAGGCAGGCTAGAGAGGTGGTGTGAGTCTGTCCTTCTCCCCACAATAATTTTTTTAAAGTACCTCTTGAGGATCTGAGATCAGGTTGATACAAAACAGTACTGGTCATCCACTGTTCTTTGCAGGTTTACCTCAGCACAAGACAAGGTGCATGGATATGGAGCCGGATTTGGGATTATGGAAATCCCATGGATGCTATGTGCTTCACTCGTTATAAAAGAGCACTTGAAAAATTCATTCCCACATTCCTCCTCAACAGATGGGCCGAGAATAAATTAAATGCAAGGTTTGACCATGTAAATTATGGTCTACAGCCCAAACACAGGTAAGATCAAAGGTTTAAGAAAAGAAAATGATATTTTTTAGCTATCAATAGCCAACAGAACCTATAAGCTATTTATAAGAAATAATTATTCATGCCTTCATGGGTACATTTTTATTCCTTGATAGAATTTTCCTTGACTGGAACGATTCAGGCTATTTCCTTCCTGTTGGAGGCTCTATTTCATTGCACCAAGGTATAAGAAAGGGGTATGTAGAATACAGAATGTCAACATAGGACTGAAATACTAATCTTCTTTAACACTCAAACCACATCACTGTGCCACCCTCTGCTTCCTCTTATGGTGCTGTTCTCTCTCAACTGCTTGCTGTTCCATTTCCAATTCTTTTTTATTCTGATACAGTATCTTACTATGCAGTTCAGACACCTATAGATCTTCCTGTCTCAGCCTCCCTAGTGCTGGGATTACAGGAGTGAGCCACCACACCTGGTTTCCTCTCTAAATTCTACATTAGTGTTCCACATTTACCCTCCAGACCTACCTCTTCCTACATCTCCTTCCTCTGGTTCCTCTCCTCTGTGGCCCCTTCTCTTTTAGGTTTCTTAATCATTTCTTCTCCTAACATTTGAAATTTAATGTTATGCAAATTTAATATATCCATCCTTGGCTCTCTCCTCTTTAATTCTATGGAGGTCTTTGTGCTAAATATTTTAAAACCTAGGCAAAAAATATAGAGCTTTGAATTAACATACAAGCAGTGAAAAGAGAAAATTAGTGTTAAAAGGAATGTATAGTACAAAAATAGCTTCATGACCAACTTAAATAGTATCTGTGACTCTCTGTCATAGAGAGAAATTATTCAGACCATGGAATACATGTTTGTTAAAAGTCACGTAGACCTGGGAATATGACTGTTTAACTCTTATTAATTGATTAAACCATCAACTGGAGGTTTCAAAAGTTTGGATTTGACTGAGAACATTTTTATCATTGACTTTGTTTTACTCAGTTGCACCTTGTAAGCCTCCAAACATATGAAGAATCAGTTGAATTTTATATGATTTTTAATTTTAAAGATAATTTAAAAATTAAAAAATAATAAAAATGACACCGAATTTTAAAACAAGATGATAGGAAATTAGCAATGGTTGTTATGTTGCATATTGTTATCTTCAAAGTAGCTGTTCAGATTAGCAGATATAGGGCTAGGGAGATGGCTCAGTGTAATAAGTGCTTCCCTGGCAAGCACAAGGGCCTGAGTTCAATTCCTGGTTCTGCAAAAAGATTAGCAGCTATAGGCATGAAAAATGGATCAAATATTAAGCATTAACTGTCTCTTTCAATAAACCAATATAAACCAGTAGTATAATTATCTTAGCTATCTTACGTATATGTCTATATATTTTTCCCTCCCATTTTTCTGTTTTCTCCTTTCCCCTACGCCAGTTGTTCTTTCCTTTTGAAGTTTCTTTCTCTCTCACAGTATCTATTGCACCCTTCAGATCTTATTTACTCT